GGAATAAATGTGTCATATTGGTAATTGTTGGTGGTTTCATCAGAGAAATCACTGTGTGAGTGAGTTGTATGACAAATGCTCCGTAAATGGTGGAATTGAATGTGTGAAAGCAATGTGTGCTTGAATGATTATTTCGTGTCTATGGAGGCATTGTTGTGTATTCTGGGCGAATCAATGTGCATGTTACTCAAATCAGGTGGTTCAAGCGAAGAGTTCGTGGTGGTCATTTCCATGGTGGAAGTTGTTTAAGTGATTTAAAAAAGGAATAACATTTGTAGAGAGGAGGGAGAGCTTCTCACTCTAACTCATATTTGTGTGACTACTTCTCCATTCTCAATGTCACGACCCGGATTTTCCATCCTCGGGAATCGTGATGATGCCTACTAGTGAAAGCTAGGCAAGCCAATCATTCCAAATATTTTACCGTTTCTATTTTTAATCCTTTAACAGTTGTGAATTAACATTATATAAACAACGGAATTAAATGAGCAGAAGAACGAAATGTAAAAATTTAGATAATACCGATACAAATCCATAAACAAAAGCTACCCAGATCTAGTGACACAATTTCACAGACTATCTAAGAATACTACAAATAGGGTTCCGAAAGATAAATACAAAGCTGTTTCTAAAATACATAGAAGAAATAGTATGTAAAGATAGAAGGAGACGCCAAGGCCTGCGGATACCTGCAGGACTACCTCAGGTTGCCTGATGGACTGAAGGAAGCAACCTCACTATGGTCCAAATGCTGCAGCACCGGGATCTGCACACAATGCAGAGTGTAGAATCAGCAGAACCGACCCCATGTGCTGGTAAGTGCCTAGCCTAACCTCAGCGAAATAGTGACGAGGCTAGGACAAGACTACCAAATAAACCTGTGCAGTTAAATCATATACAACGGGAAAAATAAAGGCAGAAATTTATAGTTAAAGATAGGAGGGAGAAACATATTGCGGGGAATATCAGGTAATAACTAAAAATCAATAAAGGAATATAAAGAAAGCCATAATTCAATTATCAACAAGAATCAAGAACTCAATAACACGTGCATGACATCACCCTTAGTGCTTTTACTCTCATCCTCACCATAAAATCAATAGAATCGGCACGGCATCACCCTTCGTGCTTTTACCTCAAATAATCATGGCACGGAATTATCCTTCGTGCATTATCACTCATATCATGGCACAACATTGTACATCGTGCGGCACGACATTGCCCTTCGTGCTTTTACCTTACAATATTGGCACGACATCACCCTTTGTACTTTACACTATTCCTCACCCAAGCAACAATAACAAAGCAATTTGGGCAAGAGAGTCAATAATATTATAATAAAATCTCGGCAAGGGAACAATAGCATAACATCAATATCCCGGTAAGGGAAACAATATCATGGGTAATAACATCCCGGCAAGGGAGATAATATCAAAAGCAATAACATCCCGGCAAGAGAGACAATATCATAAACCTCTTCTCTTTTCCGCATTTACTTCACAACTCAATTCTCAACTTGATCCAACGCTCTACAATGCTCAATTACCAATAATACTTTCACAAGCCTTGTTCAACAATAGAAATCATCATATAAAGCATGAGCAATACGAAACAGAGTCACATTAATCATAGTATAAGACTCACGGGCATGCTTGACACCAACATATAGATACTCGTCATCATGCCCATATGTCGTACTCAACAATTAACACATAGCAAATAAGACACAACTCCTAATCCCTCAAGCTAAGGTTAGACCAAACACTTACCTCAATGTCACGAACACAATTCAAGCCTCAACTACCGCTTTTCCTCTTGGTTCCACTCCCAATTCGCTTGTATCTAGTCAGAATTTACTTTATAATATTAATAAATGCTAAATAAACCAATTCTAATGCATGAAAATAGATTTTCTAGAGTTTTCCCCAAAAAGTCAAAAATTGACCCCGAGTCCGCTTGGTGCAAACCCGAAATTCGGACCAAAACCCGATTACCCATTCATCCTAGAGCCCGGATATACCATTGGTTTTGGAATCTGACCTCAATTTGAGGTCTAAATCCCCAAATTTTGATATTCCTAAGTTCTACTCAAAATTCCCAATTCCACCATGAAAACCCTAGATTCTAGGATGGAATCTTGTAAAAAAAAGTTAAGGAGTGAAAGAAATAAGTTAAAAATCACTTACTAGTGTTTTGGGGAAGAAAAAGTGTTTGAAAAATCGCTTCTTATGTTTTAGGGTTTTGAAAATTGAAAAGTAGCTGAAGAGTCCCGTTTATATACTCCTCTCAGACCCTCACTGCGGAGCTCCACCGCAGACCGCGAAATATCGAGACGGCCACGAAGACTCAGCCTTGCTCACCGCTGACCGCATGAATCCCACCGCGTTCGCGAAGACCGCATCGCGGCCGCGGAGATTCTACCGCGGACCGTGAAACTTGGTTTCAGAGACCTGTAATTTTCTTTGAACCTGCAACTGTCATGTTCTAAGTCTAAATGCACTCTGAGGCCTATCTAAAACTTACCCGAGCCCTCGAGGCTCCAAATTAATCATGCACGTAAGTCTAAAAAACGTCATATGGACTTGCTCGTGCGATCAAATCATCAAAATAACATCAACAATTGCGGATTCAACCTCAAATTCATAAAATTACTCAAAAACATTGAAATTTTTATTTTTCTCAAATATAGGTCCGGTTTATACTAAATGGACTCCGATTCTTACCAAACTTCACATATTCAACTTAATTATTATTTCAAACTTGTACCGGGCTCCGGAACCAAAATACGAGCCCGATACCATCAATTTCAAATATCTTTTTATTTCCAAAACTCTTATATTTCACAGAAAATAATTTTCTTTAAAAATTTCTTTCTCGGGCTTGGGACCTTGGAATTCAATTCCGTGCATATGCCCAAGTCCCAAATATTACTACGGACCCTACGAGACCGTCAGATCACGGGTCCGGATTCGTTTACCAAGAATGTTGACCAAAGTCAACTTTATTTAATTTTAAAAGCCAATTTCCTTATTTCACTTAGTTTTCACATAAAAGCTTTTCCGGAAACGCGCCCGAACTACGCAAACAAATCGAGGTGAGACAAAAAGAGATTTTAAGGCCTCGAAACACTAAATTTACTTTTAAAATGAGTGATGACCTTTTGGGTCATCACTCAATATGATCATATTTGTTCACATCTGAACTGAAGGTCTGAGTAATACATACAGTTGCACATAAATAAATAGTTGCACATAAGTACATAACTGCAATAAGTCGTGCAATCTAATTATTTTCTGTCATAGAGGTTTTCAATTGTATATATGTCTTATTTTGAAAGTAAGGCAAACAAACAAGCACTTTACTATGTATATTCTAATTTAGCTCGACTTAGGGAAGATATCTCGACTCATCTCAATCAACTATCAAGAATCTTTACTGAATTTGTGCTGTCAATTCATTCGAGAATCTATAATAAGCGATTAAAATTATTAGACCAAATATTAACTTCAACCCAATTCTTCAATTTAGGTTCTACTTGACCGTTAATGGCTTCATATCATTTCTATCCATGAACTTCATCATCCCAACCACAGAAACATCATAATATACTATAATCTAACTTTGATAGTAGTAAGCAATGAAATTACCTTAAACATTGCTATTAGAAACCCTTGGTCTGAGTTCTTGAAAGATCTTTTTGAATTCTTGTTAAAAAGCTAGGATCTTTGAAATTCTTGGTGTAAAATAATGTTAATATAAAGTTTCTAACTTGGATTCATGGTAGCCATCTTATGTTGGGTGGATTAGGGAAGCCGTAGGTCGTTCTTGATCAAAAAACCTCGCAAAATAAGTAGGTTCCTCTCTTCCCGAAGTGGCTTTTATAGCTAGCATTTTTCTGGCTCTGGGCAATTGTTGTGCGAGGCACATCCAGAGCACCAAGCACCAACATTTAAGCTATGGCACATGAAGTAAGGTGTACCATAACTAGAAGAAGATTATATTTATAGGGAAAAAAAGAAGGAAGATTCCTTAACCTTGTTTTTAACTGTTTGACTTGTTAGCATATCAATATTTGCGACTTGCAGGTCCACTTCAACAACTCGAGATCTCGAGGTGGAAATGGAATAGAACCAAAGTGAATTTATGACAAAACTACCTCAAATAATTATAGGTTATGATTATACGTGGGAAATTGCAAATTGGCTTCCATGGTAGGTATACTTTTGCTAGTCAAAACTTCTCATATTGAGGATAAATATGCACAAATACACCATTTATAATAGAAGACCACAATTTATTGTGCAGTTTTGAAAATCTTTCCAAGAAGTATTGGGTACACAAGTAGACCTTAGCAACGCATTTCATCAATACACAGACGGGCAGTCGAATACTATACAGATCTTGACAGATATGTTGAGAGCTCGCATTTTGAGTTTGGAGGTGGTTTGTATGCTTATATGTATTTAGTTGAATTTGCCTGCAATAATAGCTTCCAATCCAGTATTTAGGTGTCACCGCATGGAGCTTTGTATATTATGCGAAATCGTTTTCCTATCGGATGGTTTGAAGTCGATTAGGCTAATTTATTAGGACCCTATGTAGTAAAAAAAACTACTGACAAGGTCCAATAATTAGATTGCTCACAACTCAAAAGAGACAAAAGTCGCATGCGGATAAGAGGAGAATGGACTTTGTTTTTACAATTAGCGATAGAGTGTCACTAACGGCCTTCCCGTGAAAGTCATATGGAGAAATCATACAATTGAAGAAGCTACATCAAAAGTGAAAAAGATGTTATGCGAGTCAAGTGTCCTTATTTATTTTAGTCTACAAGTACGAACTTAAATTAAATTCGGGGACCGAATTTCATAAGGTGGGAAGAATGTAATATCTCACATTAAAATAAGGGTACTTAAGTAATTATAAAAAGAAAAAAAAACTAATAAAACAACAAAAAAAGAAATAAGAGAAAACACAAGCGGGCTTGGCCCATCAAAAACGTAAAAGAGCTTTAGCAGAAGCTTTAGTTAGAAAGGGGTTTTGAGATTGAGGATTTTATAAGAACTGGAAGAAGTCTCGTATGGGAAAAGGGAAAACAAGCCAAAGAAGAGATTTGGTGAAAATCTTTTCATCAACAAGGCATAAAAACCAGAAAATTATTGGTGTATTTTTATGATAAACTCCAGGTATTACATGTATTTTTTCTTTCTTTAGAAACAGAAGTAGCTTTATATACACAATTCCACACATGACTAAGTAAATATGAGGTTAGACTAGATTTCGATTTTAAACAAGAAGGTTAAGAGATTGTGAGAAATCCATAGGACCTTTCATGAATTACAGAGTATATTATATAAATAGGATAAAATTTATAGATTACGGATTAGTTGAATTTCTCATAAAATGGGTAAATATAATTTGACAAATTAATGGTCAAATATGGAACTTTGAGAGTTGCATCTTCTAAATTAGTTATGGATTAGCCTAAACAAGAAAATTAATACTAGCTTAATATGATGTGATTATAGATTGATTGAAGGAAGTGCTACGGATTGCTTGGGGTGGTGCGTTTGGTATTTTGGCACGAGTACAGTGAGTAGTAATCTTACCACAGTTTGTGTTTTCATAACTTGCATGGTTTATACGTTATTTTGAAAGTAAAATGTATTACCGAATATTTGAAATTGCATGTGGGACACGTCCTTGACTTGATATGGTACTGAAATATTTTACTTGAGATGTTTACAATTATTTAAAAGATTCTCATTGTTACTAGATATGTTTTACTGTTACTTGAGATATGATTACCGTTACCGAAATTGGATTACATGATTTGATAAGAAGAAATGCCATGTACTATTTTAAAAATGTTTCCAAGTGAATATTTACTGTTTACAAAAAAAAGTATAAATGGGAGGAGACTTTGAAGGATCCCGTAGCTGACTGTGTGTTCGTTAGACCCGGTGCACTTTGTATTTACCGATTACCGAGTACAGTTATAGCTCTCAATAGTGGGAAGGTAGAACTAGCATACAGTTACAGTTTTTTCTCGAGTAGAGGCCTACAAGTTACATTTGACTCCTTTTACGAAGGGGTCCACATAGTGATGTAGATTACATGATCCTTTCTTGGAAACCTCCCAAATATAAAGATTTTGTATGAGACAGTGTTTATCGAGTTTATTAATGATTTGTTAAATTGATTTTAGTTACAGGAAATCATGAATAAACTGATTATATTTACCGTTTTGAGAGAATTTTATTTTTATGATAGTTTCTGATTATTATTACTATAAACGCATGTTTCTGACTTGTCCCTATTAAAACGATTGTGAATAAGTGTTATTACTCACTGAGCTAGTGACTCACTCCCCGCTATTTCTTTTATAGAGACAGCAGTTGACGCGAGCGAGGATTTCATTAATTAGAGTACACTAGTTGATAGTTCCTGGTGAGCTCCACATTTGTTCATGTGGGCGAAGAGTTTATTTGTTTGCTATGTTCTCTCCATTTGAACTCTTAGAGTCGCTCTATATTCATTTTATTAGTGTCATGAGTATTCGTTCATTATTAGACCCATGACTAGTATTAGATTCTCTTATAGTGTTTTAGAGATGAGTTTAAGATTACTGTGTTGCAAGTGATTGATTAACAGTGGTGAATAACTGTTTAATTGAAGATTATGAGATATTTGGTTGATATAGTTGGTTCTGTTGTTTATTTTTGAGACATCGTAAATTTTTGGATAGTCCTAAAATTGGGGAAACTCTGTCCGATTTTCTGGAAAATATCAATGAGGCTTACTTGGGGGCACTAGCTCCTAAGCGCCGGTCCTAATCCTAAATTGGATCGTGACAATACTAATTTAGATCTTGACTTAGGGAAGATATCTCGACTCATCTCAATCAACTGTCAAAAATATTTACCGAATTTGTGCTGTCACTTCATTCGAGAATCTACAATAAGCAAGCGATTAAAATTATTAGACCAACTATTAACTTCAACCCAATTCTTCAATTTAGGTTCTACTTGGCCATTAATGGCTTCATATCATTTCTGTCCATGAACTTCATCATCCCAACAATTGAAACATCATAATACACTATAATCTAACTTTGATAGTAGTAAGCAATGAAATTATCTTAAACATTGCCATTAGAAACCCTTGGTCTGAGTTCTTGAAAGATCTTTTTGAATTTTTGTTGAAAACCTAGGATCTTGGAAATTCTAGGTGTGAAGTAATGTTAATCTAAAGTTTCTAACTTGAGTTCATGGTAGCAATCTTATCTTGGGTGGATTGGGAAAGCCCTAGGTCGTTCTTGATCGAAAAACCTCGCAAAATACTATAGAAATAACTAGGTTCGTCTCTTCCCGAAGTGGCTTTTATATGTAACATTTTTCTGGCTTTGGGCAATTGTGGTGCGAGGCACACCCGGAGCACCAAGCACCAACAATTAAGGTGTGGCACATGAATACAAAAAATATTTTGTTGTTATCGTGCCATGGTTGTACAACACATAAGGCTTGGTTCAATCCTGGAACATTTTATTTTATCCGTTTTGAGTATTATCAAATCGCATGATACCTATACTAAGTCCCATATCATTTCAAACATATGTTAACATCATTTAATCACTCTGTTAGTTATAAACGAGTTTTGAGTTAGCTAAAACACGTATGAGGTATTACATATCTATTAAATTAAGGATTGAATAGTTGCATCAACAACAACGACAACAAATCAAAATAATCTCACAAGTAGGGTTTGATGAAGGTAATGTATACACAGACCTTTCCTCTAATTGTTTCCGATATACACCAGTAGGATTGAATAGTTAGAAGTGATAGAATATATGAGTCCACCAAACTATATAGAGACCAGGTCCTATATTGGTTTCCATAGATTATGCTCGCACAACAGTAAGTAAATGACATTACGTGGAAAATTCCCGACGAGACTAAAAACCACAACCTACACTGGCATGATTTCAACTTCACTATGAGCAACCTTTTAGATTACAACCTAGGAATTAAACTCTTAATCCCTCACTAACTTGTAATAAACTTATTACTAGCCACTTTGCAATAAACCTATTACAAAGACTTCAACACATGGCTAACTCTAGTCACAACACAAACACTGAAGTTTATGGTTTACAAGGGTTTCCTAATTAATGCTCCTAGACAACCAAGGTAGGAGTTACCACTACACCATTTTAGGCCTTTTGCCACTCCCAAAAAGTGTGGCTTGAACTATCAAAAGTGTGGCATTTGATCGAATGCCACATTTTTCAACATTAGGAAACGCTTTTTAGGGTGACCTAAATGAGCGTAACCTTTTTCGTAAGGCCACGCTTTTCAAGTGTTGTTTTAAATGCTATGCTTCAAAAGTGTGGCCTATCAGGTACAAAGGCAACACTTTGTATTACCTCATATGACAACGTTTTTCATGCCTAAAACTACACTTTTAAAGTGTGACCTATGTTATCTTATAAGCCACACTTTTCAAGCTTGGGCTCTAGAGCAACACTTGTGAAGTGTAGCTTATCTGCCACTTTACAATCAATAGGCCACTGACTTGACAGTCTATATGGCACACTTTTGAAGCGTGCTCTAAGTTATAAACATCTTTTTAAAATAATTTGTACAAGCCATTATTTTGTGGTTGATGCTATAATCAAATTTATTTCAAGAATATACATTATTCTTGTACAACCACAATGATGCTATAATCATTAAAGCTTGGATTGATGGAAAGAAATTACCTAGTATTTTTGCCTCCACCGAAATTTGAACTTGAAACCTCATAATTTTCACCCACGTCATTGACCACACCCCGGGTGCTTGAAACACTAACCTATCTTCCTTGTTCAGATAGTGTTAAAATTCTCTGGACCCTAATCACAAGAAAAAGACTTATTCAAGAAAGAAAATGTCATGATCCTAAACCCAGACCCGATCGTGATGGCGCATCTCATGAAGACAAGGCTAGCCGACACAAACCCCCAAATAAATTAATAGAAATAATAATTCATAATTAAGTCATAATAACGATAAATCCCAAAATAGAGAGAAATATATCAACTGCGGAAACAAACACTATATAAACTGCGGAAACAAACACAGCCCGACATTGAGGTGTCACCAGTCATGAGCATCTAACAAAAGTCTAAGAGTATGAAAGAGTTTATACAGTCTATTACAGAACTAGAACAAGGGAAGTAAAATAGGAGGGAGAAACAATGGGCTGTTGTTGCGACCAAAACACTCATGCAAGTGTACGCGATCGACAAGTAATATAGTAGTAAGTAAAGTATCGTTCCCACGAGGAATTGTGATCAACTTATCGACTGATGTAGACTCAAACAATTATCAATTCAAGCTAAATTATTACAGAATATTTAAAGAACCAATTTACAACTTACTTAATAATTGCACAATAATTCAACACAAAATTACTACACCAATTTCACAATATGTTTATAACAATTTGGATAAATATATTCCCGGGTCATGGACTTGCTAGAAATTATGCTACTATTTTAGCTTAAAATGGATTTATTGAATTATCCGGGTTATTGATTATAGGGTTAATAATATTCATAAGAATCTTTCGAGTTCTTATGCATCTATTCAAGTTAAACTAATACCTATATGTCTATGGTATTAATATTAGCAAGAATGCATTTACAACTC